GCCTCAAGATTAATTATTTCTGATCGTAACTTTATTTCTTCTTGTAAAACTTCATATTGTTGACGTTCATTTTGTTGACGTGCTAACATTTTGTTTGCATGTTCCTCACGAAAAACATTATAATTATTTAAGAGCCTAATGGAATCTTCGTATTGGTTGGCTTTAAATTCGTTTAGTACCTAATATATAATCAACTTATATTATGATTCAAATTCTATAGCAACATTAGTAACAATTAAAATAACTATAACTTACTTGTACAGCTTCCTGCCCTGGTTTAACTATAGTTCCATAAATTTGTTCAAACAAATTAATTGCTTGTTCAAATCCATCCGTATCCTGCGTTAATAGGATTAAATCAAATCAAGAAATTGTTAAATGAATAATAAAAAAAATATTATTTACAAAAAGATTTGTTATTTCCAATCCAGGAGCAACATGCTCTTCCCAAAGTTTATGAGCCCATTCTTTATGATATCGGATTAAGGCAGCAGAGTTGTCTTTATAATATTTATCTTTTAAAACAGTAATCTTGTCACAAAATGTCTTTCGAAAAGACTGGATTTGATCAGCACTTCCAAGGATTTGTTTAATGAAATCATTATGCGCCGATTCAAACGCGTCACTATGAGTATTTTCAAACTCTTCCCAAGGAATTGGAGATCCATCAATATATATTTGGTTCATCATTTGGTTCATCTTGTCATTATAACGTTTAATACAAGCTTCATATGCCTTTTGGGCAGCGTAATCAATAGTAGCTTCATATGCACTTGGAATCGATAACATGGTGTTTTCTGGGTCATTTATTTGTGCAACACATCTCTCAAGAAACTCAGCAAAAGCTACTCCTGTCATTGCTGAAGCATCAAGATATTTTGGAGGCAAGTCTTCAAAAATATTAGTTACGGCTTCTTCAATCTTTGTAACAAAAACAGGATCTAATTGGTTTGTCCTAATTGTGCTCATGTTTCTCATTGCTTCTTGTCGAATTCCTGGGTGCTATTTTAAAGCTACTTAGTGAAACTTGAAAAAAATATTTAGAATATGAATATACTTACAGGAATCGGATAAACTTGGAAATTTTTAAAAAATTTTTTAACGTCATTTGCGGCTTGTTATGAAATAAAAGACATATTAATGATCAAATTAGTTATGATACAACATTTGATAAATTAATAAAATGTTTAAATTTACCATCATCATTAACATTTGATAATCTGTCAAGAAAATACTCTACAAAATCAGGCGGATTATCTAATTGAAAATCTCGAAGGAGAACGACCAGGTTTGGTAAAAATTGGAATTCATTTGGAGGTTGGATTTGAGATACGATTTTAGTCATTAGGGATAATGTCTCAATGTCATCTCTTCCAATAACTCCATGAATATTATATATAAGTGTTGAAGAGATGGCCAGACATAAAACCAAAAGCTTGTTTGCCAATGGAACTTCCTGATTAGGATCATTAATGCCCTCACAATCAATAACAACCACACCTAAATTTATGCACAATATATATATAATTGTTAATATATAGGGTTTCCATTCATACCAATCTCTAAATGTCATAAGGATATTTGTCACATTGTACCCAACGCACGTACGTACGTACGTACGTACTTACAGTATCCTCAAAAAGTTTATCACGGTTACACGAAAAAAAACTTGATTTATGCAAATGTATAATACTGTATACGCAAATTATGAAAATATCTGGAAGATAATCAGCAACGAAAACCACAACCAAACCAAGAACATGTAGAGCGTTGAAAACAGCACTTTTAGAGAAATGGAATGAACTTAATAAATAGTATGCCAAATCGTATTGCCGAAGTTATTACTAATTGAGGC